GGGGGGGGGGGAGGTGAACACCATATAAGTCCCTAGGGGCTCTCGGTGCAAGGGGGCTGGTGTCTGGGCCAGTTGAGAACAGAGCCTGGTCAGGGTGAGAGCTGCAGGGAGGGCACAGCAGGACAGCTAGGTGCAAGGAGCTGGCAGGCATTTCAAGAAGGAAGTGTGACCAGAAACCCTGTACTGAACAGTGTGAGCAGCACTGCCTGGCTTCTGGAAAGGTAAGAGAATAGGCCTCGGGGAATTTAAGAAACAGAGATAACATCTGCATACAGCCGCAGGTAGAAGAATTGGGAGCTCAGAAAGAAGGCAGAGGCCTGGGTGGGGCTTGAGGAGCAGAAGTCTGGTGTGTGGGAAGTACTGGCCTTTTTCTCCCTTACCCTTAAATTATTTTATCTGTATGTGATCCTGATTAACTTCCGTTTCTATGTTTGAGGAGCTCTTTTTAGGGAGGCTGGTGGGAAGGCTTCCATTCTAAATCATTGAGGCCAAGATTCATACTTGGCCTCAAGTATGAGAGGTTAACAAGACTTACACTTCTCCTTTCCCCAGCCTAACACAGAGACACACACGCACGCACGCGGTACTCCATAAATAAGTGAATTTGCATGCCCTCAATTATACTTGTGACTTTCTAGCCATAATCAGCTACAGGCATAAATTCACTAGTTTTTAATCTATTAGTCTTTTAGTAAGAGCTAAAGCTACAAAGGGTGAGGCTTACCTAAAAAGTTTTGAGCAAGGCTGATGGTTATGGATTTCTGTAATTAAAGAGAGAAAATACATCTTAATCATGTAAAATACAGGCAACTATAAAATAGCCCAGGGTATATATATATTTTAAATCTCAGACAATAAGGATAGTTTCTTGCCCAGCTGGGTGGCTCAGTTGGCTAAGTGTCCTACTGTACACTGAAAAGGCTGCAGGTTTGATTTTTGGTCAGGGCACATACCTAGGTTGCGGGTTCGATCCCTAGTTGGGGCATGTACACTGGGAGGCAACCAACCGATGTTTCTCTCTCTCTCTCCCCCTTCCTCTCTAAAACCAATGAAAAAAATAGCCTCAGGAGAGGGGTAAAAAATAACAAATCAGATACTTTTCCTCTTTAAAACAGGTGCCATGTGTACACTGGGAAGCACTGTATGTTCCTAACATTTCAACTTGGGGACAGCTCAGAACCATGTAACAGGAGGACAGCAGCCCTGTCTCCCTGTCCATGTGTGGTGAGCACACACCGGAAAGCTTTCACTGGGGAGCAGGAAGCCCCAGTGCACCTTACTCAGTCTCACCTGGGTAAAGCATAAGGGGAAATGGAACCACTGGCTGGAGCATTTAATCAGGTGGCTGAGAGTCCTGAGGACAGCTTGGGGAGAGGGCCTTAACCTCTCTACCATCAATTACCTGCTAACAAATCATGACAATGTGGGCCAGGTGTTCTGAAGGGGAAGGGAGAAAACTCGAAGTCTGTTAACCCTTTTAAAAATGGCAGCACCAAGGGAAACTGTTATTAAAAAGGCAGATGTAAAAAGACTGCTGTGATTAACTGAAGGAAACAGTTTCTTCAGGCTCATGGGGGGCTTGGGTCTGGTTTGCTTTATAAGACCATGAGACTAATCAGCCATTCAATCCTACTAATATAATAACATTCTCCTGGACAGCGACTCTCCCTGCTTTTTAAAATGTCACAGCCCAGAGTTATAGGCTGCAATTTTAACTCAGTTAAAAAGAATCCACAACCCTAAAAGACATGGGGCTATTGGCTCCATCCTGCTGTTACTGCTGCCAAAACACAGGCACGATGCTTCCACAGGAAAGAAAAGTTCATCTGCCCAGCAGGCTGCTGACGTAGTGATACAAATAAGAAAACCTCATCTAGAGCATGCCCTTCTTTTATCACCATAGGGATACAGTGTACCTTCCCGTTATTTCAGAGATACTTTAGTAAAGCAATTAGAATGTGAAAAATCTGTAGCAAAAACATTACCCCAGGGAAAAGGGGAAAAAAAAGCATCTTCTATTTGACAGAAAGAGTATTTTAAGAAAATCCCTAGCCCAGGCGGGCGTGGCTCAGCGGTTGAGCATTGACCTATGATCCCGGAGATCTCGGTTCGATTCCTGGTCAGGGCACATGCCCAGGGTTGTGGGCTCGATCCCCAGTGGGGGATATGGGGTTGGTGGTGCAGGAGTCAGCCAATCAATGACTCTCTCATCATTGATGTTTCTATCTCCCTCTCCCTGAAATCAATAAAGACATTTTTAAAAGAAAATCCCTAGAGTAAATGCTGAACTGAGTCCACCTCCTGTCATCAATCTTCCCAGCAGACTTCTTTTATGATTTACAACCCGGATTAGAAGTACACTGAGATGGGCTCTAGGTATCGTGTGGTATTTCCTAAAGAAGATAAAGCTTTCTCTTATAAGACTTTTTGCAATACCCAACTAAGCGCTCCATGGAGAAAAAGGTGATGGTCTCCAACATGATAAAGCTGCAGATGGGAATGAAATTGGGGCACATCAGCTGGTAGGTGGACCTTTGGCAGGGCAGCCTTGCCAGGGACCCTAAACTTCCACACGTCTCCAGAGCATCCACACGGTAGACTCCTTGTCACGTGTGCACGGCATCTCTGCACACGTCCCTACAAACCCTCACTGGGAGGTGTTGCTCCTGCTGATCTTCCCAGCTCTGCTTCTCCTCTCCTCCCCCCTCCGTTCTTTCCAGTGGCCGCCACTATGCCGTCTCATTAACTAAGGAAACATTTCTGCTGTCTAGAATGCCTCTGCTTCAAGTGAGTTAGCACAGCTTAAAATTAATATGTATTCCAAACAAGACAGATACTTCATGTTCCAAATGTCATATTCTATATAAAGTCCCCCTTATTGTATAGAGTCAGGTAAAGATGTCTGTGCATGGATGCACACATTTTCAGCAAATAACCTATTTGGTCTGTTTATTTTACTTAAAACATCTCACTCTGGAGGTTAGGCTATGCCAGGACTTCTTCACACATTGCTACGGAAACTACCCAGGGCACTTGCTTCATGTTTGGCCTTTCAATCCAGGTTTTCCATAGTCCCTGGTTTACACTTTCTAATGTGGACGTTACTCATTCACTAAAGTACAGTTGACGTACAGTATTGTATCAGTTTCAGGTTTACTACATAGTGGTTCAACATTTATATACCTTACAAAGTGATCACAACAAATCTAGTAACCATCTCTCACAGTACATGGTTATTATGATATTAATGACTATATTCCCTATGCTGTATATTTCATCCCCATGACTTATTTTATAACTGGAAGCTTGCATTTCTCCATCCCCTCCCCCTTTTCTGCCCATCCCTCCACTGAGCCATGCTGGCTGGGCATACTTCCAATTTTTGAAGACCCTCCATACTGTTTTCCATAATATACATTCCAACCTACAGCGCACGAGGGTTCTCTTTCCCCACATCCTCACCAACATTTGCTCTTTGTTGTCTTTTTGATAACAGCCATTCTTACAGGTGTGACGTGATATTTTTGTGGTTTTGATTTGCATTTTCCTAATAATTAGTGAGCATCTTTTTATGTGTCTGATGGCATCTGTATGTCGTCTTTGGAGAAAATGTCTACTCAGATCCTCTGCCCAATTTTTAACTGGATTTTTGGGTTTTTTGTTTTTTTGTAATGTTGAATTGTTATGAGTTCTCTATATATTTTGGATACTAACCCCTATTGTCTATAGCATTAACGAATATCTTCTCTTTATTCAAAGTAGGTTGACTTTTCGTTTTATTGATAACTCCCTTTGCTGTTCAAAACCTTTATTTTGATGTAGTCCCATTTGTTTATATTTTTTCATTTGTTGCCCTTGCCTGAGGAGACATATCCAAAAAGATATTGGTAAGAGTGATGTCAAAGAGTTTACTGCCTATGTTTTCTTCTGAGAGTTTTACGGTTTCGGGTCTTAGATTTAAGCCTTTAATCCATAATATGTACTTATTTTTAAAAGAAAAAGATAGCAATACATTCAAGATAATACTGCAAACACTCTGCCCGTGATCCATAATCATTTCAAATAATGAACTGAATATAAGCAATGAATTAAAGGTAGTACAGCAAAAGATGGTTGTCATGGCACTGTATTAATCAGGACTCTGTTGACTGGTACTCCTCCATTCCTACAATACAAGGGAACTGGTATTTACTGCAAGAACCAGAAGATTTATGAATCAAAGAATCACTACCTTATGATATAGAATTTGAATTACTTTACCATTTATTTTTATTTTTAAAAATATATCTTTATTGATTTCAGAGAGAGGAAAGGAGAGGGGGAGAGACAGAAACATCAATGATGAGAGAGAGTCACTGATCGGCCGCCTTCTGCACACTCCCGACTGGGGATTGAGCCCACAACCCAGGAATCGAACCCTGATCACCTAGATCCTAGGTCTGATCCTCAACCGCTGAGCCACGCCCGGCCGGGCACCATTCTTTTTTTTAATCTTCACCCGAGGATATATTTTTATGGGTGTGAGAGAGGAAGGGAGAGAAAGGGAACCATCAACTGGCTGCCTCCGAACACGCCCCGTTCACAGGACTTCCTGTCTCTTTCTTGCAGCACCATCTCGCCCCGCCTGGCGCTCCTGTGCTCATCCTCCCACACTCTTGGAGGCAGGAATGTATCTGGCTATTCCTCTCATTGCCTCGCACATGCCTCACACTTTGACAAACGGTGCCTGCATAAAGGAATAAAATGGCCTTGCTTTTTCTGAGCGTCAGGATATGCTGTTTGGTCATACTGAGGTGCAGCTAACAGGACTATGACCCTTATTTACGAAAAGGAGACTAACTCAAGGACAGTGGGTGCATCTACAAATACTCCATCTACAGCAAGAATCTCCCCCAAACTGACGGACTTATTTCGCAAAAGGTTGTACGACTTAGCAAATATCTCACGAAAACAAGTGTGAACTACGCCAGACCCTTCTGAAAGGACCTGCATAGCACATCCTTTCATTGTAGGAGGTGATATTGGCAACGAGGGCAGCCTGTTTTGCAGTCATAAGGTTCATCGTGGTTTTGAAGAGACTATTGAGTACAATAGCACCTAGAAACTCAAAGCCAGATCAGTTAGTGGGTAAGGGACAGCATTATAGAACACTGACATCTACAGCTGCGCACTACACGTTTACACCGACTATAAGACATTTCACATTGTCTATAAGTGCAAGTAACTGGCATTGCAATTTTAGCAGTTGTCTACGTACTTTTGTAATCTTTTAGATTAAAATCAGCTAGGGGCCAAAGAACAAAGTGTATCTACAAAAAAAGTGTTTCTGAGGTCAGTGATAAACTTACCAATGACTTGCAGAAATTCTGTGTTGCTGATTTGTGAGTCACTGATGCTAAAGGTTTCCTCTTGTCTTACTTCTCCCAGCAAAAATCCTTCCTAAAAGTAGCAAAAGAAAATAGTTGTATACTAAAAATAAAGATGACTTTTATTGGAATTAAGAGAAATTTACGATATAATAGTTTTAACAATAATCCAAATAAGCTTGGCATTCAAACTGCTATTCTATAAACCAACAAGAGTAAAGCAATCTGAGATTATCTATTAACTGGATTGTCTGGAAAAAGGGTTCCATACAAGAAGAAGCGTATTTTAATCCCTTCAAGTCTCCCTGGTTTTTCTGGAGTAAAACTGAGTAGAGTGAATTCATCACCTAAACCTACTGGGCAGAATAACCAATGTTGGGGTGGGTGGAGGTGGAAGAAGGAATGGGGGTAAATGGTGATGGAAAAATAAAGAAACAATTAAAGAAAATAAATAACCAATGTCAAAAGGCCCAGGAAGCAGAAGGACCCCAAGCTTGTTTTTCTGAAACAGCACACGGCTTACTTCATTGTGTGAAAAGCACTGCTCATGATAAAAGGATAAAGCAGCTAGCACGATGCACAACTAGCTGCTCTCGGATAAGCTGGCCCGGGATTCTAGGGACTCAGCAGATAAATGTGTAACAGGCCTGTGAAAGTGCTTCTTAATTAATCAATTAATTTTTGTTAACCCTCATCCCAGGATGAGGGGGAGAGAGGAGAGAGAAACATCCATGTGAGAGACACCAATCAGTTGCCTCCCTAACGTGCCCCAACAGTCGCCCTAACTTATGTACTGTCTGTAGCTGCTTTCTCCCTACAACAGCAGAGTGCAGTAGTTGCTGCAGAGACCACAGGGCTCCCAAAGCCTAAAGTATTTACTGTGTGGCCATTTATAGAAAACGCTTGCTAACCCCAGCTGATTTCTTGCCTGGACGAAACAAGGATGTCCTACAAAAAGCAAATTCTTGGTTTGTTCTGTTTTGTTAGTTTAAAATATGTAAAACTGAAATAATTTTATTCCACATATATAACTGTGGCAAGGTTAATACAAACAGGTATGGTCATATCCAATACAGTCACTGGTGAAAACTTCCATGAAGTCTACCCACCATACCTGGCGCGGCGCAGATAGGAAAGAGGCGTCTCTGAAGTTAAATTAGCAACGATCCGAGTAACGTGGCCATCTCGGCGCCGTCTGCAGAAAACCCTCGTCCCCTTTTCAACAGGCAGCTGCTGACTCACAACCACCCTGTCCTACCCGTGAACTGTGCTGCTCCTAGGCCCTCCCAAAGGGAGGTCAGGAAGCGCCGCCGACACAGTATCTAACTCTCCCGACACAGTATCTAACTCTTCCGCGGACACCGGGAGCGCCGCGGGGGCAGCTGGCTACAGTAGCAAAGGCCTCGGGGGACACTCCTGCTGCGCGTGACTTCACCCTTCAACTCTACCGTCGGCACGGGAGACGTGAAAGGCGCATTAATCCAGCGCCACCCAACTCGCTAATGGACTCGCCTCTCTGTCCGTTTTTATTAACGGAAGCCACGGCCGCTGGCACCCACCCGAGCCCCGGGGCCTCCTTCCGCGGCGTATCGTTTTGCTTTGTAACGACACGCACAGAG